TACTTAGATCCCAAGGACAGTGCAAGTGACTGTCACTTGTGAAGACTGTGTATCAAAAAGCATGCAAACTAGAAATGAGCTGCCTTCACTGGAGTCTGTTCAGTGTAGCTTTCTGACCCCACAGCTCAGAGAAACCCACAGCATCACCAAACTCCTTATGCTGCAGTCCAGCACGGGGGGCTCCCTTTGCTGGGGGAAATGTTCTTGGTCATCCATCTTGTGAGGCCAAATGCTCCATTATGTGTCTTTTATGGTACTGTTAAAACTTGTTCCATCTCCTTTTGCAGTTTCATAATCTTGCTGCTACGTGGCTTTCTGGCTCCCAAAAATGTCCCCCCAGTTTCCCAGCAGTAAGCACATCTCAAAAGGGAGATGAGATTTAAAGAGCAGGTGTAGGCCAGATATGGTCCATGAGAGAGTAAGAACAGAACTACAGGCTCAGGTAGATTTTGAACAAGCTTGCAGTCTAGAAACACTGATTAAAAAAAAAAAATTAAAAAATCCTGTCTGCTGCTCTTTAGCTAGTAGATATTTTTGGAACCCAGTGTCTTTGAAGTTTTGTCATCATGGAAGAATTAAAAAGGGCTCTGATGACAGAAGGAATCTAGAGGTACTTAGCCACAGTATCTACCCAGAATAGACAACAGCTTCCTCACATGCTCCAAAAAGCAGATCTTGGTCTGCTACCCAGGTAAAACCAGAACTCACCCATTCTAATAAGCAATCCAGCCAAAAGAACAGCAGTGGATATTTGATTTGGTTTTGGGTTTGGGGTTTTTTTTGTTTTTCTTTCTTTTTTTACCCCAAGGGACCTTGTAAACTGGGAATGTGTTTTAAGTATTAGAGACCTTCAGTGGAACTCCTATCTGTGCAGTTCACCAGGATTTAAGTGCTTTTGTCTGCTGGATCAGTACTTCATTCATAATGGCACAGAACAAGGAGTAAAATAATGTGTAAAGAAGTTAACCTCTCAGGGTCAGCTGTACCTCTGCATTTGCTGTTTGTACCACTTTCTCAGCAGAGAGCTGTGCTCAAGATTGCTGAGGAGAAACCTGGCCAACTTGTGTGAAAGATAAAGCTGTGGGCACACACATACTCTGCTGCTGGTAGCTCAGGCAGTCTGCAGTGCTCTACAGTGCATTTAGATAATGATCTCTATGTTGGCTTGTTGGTAACAGATGTATTTCTGGTTGTCTTACTATTATCTCCTTGTGATTTTTATTCTCTTCTCTCTGACAGGGTTTATGCCTAACACTTTTACTACTGGCTGTTTTTAAGAAAGCACTGCCTGCTCTTCCCATCTCCATCACCTTTGGCTTGATCTTCTACTTCTCGACAGACAACCTCGTGCGACCGTTCATGGACACCCTGGCCTCCCACCAGCTGTATATTTAGAAGAAGTGGGAGTTAGAGGATTCTTTTCTAAGCTTTGCTGTGAAGTATGGTACAATGTTTGGAATAGGTCATAAAGTTTTTACACTTAGTGCCATATATTTGTAAGGAAAACACTAATTCCTTGATATGCTGTGTACTAAAAATCTAATATTTACATGTTGAACTGAGATTTTTCACAGGACTCTTGGTGAAAAGCCTGGCTCCTTGCTGATGTCAGAGTGTTACTTTTATTTTATTTGATGTGCACAGTGGCTGTTGTGAGCACAGAAACCTGTATGTGGCATGGAACACTGGAGAGGTGAGGGGTCTGATCTTCCAGGAGCTAAGGTGTTTTAGCCCTGGAACTCCAGTCATCTTTTACCATAGTCTAGAATTTCTAAGTCTTCACACATTTGAAGTGTTGTGCAAACATGAGGTGCAAGTGATTGGAAAAGCACAGCTGGGAGCATGCACAGAGCAGTGTGTGAGCCATTAGAGAAGGGAGGCTGAACTTCCTCCGTTGGCTGCTGTGCACACAGCATCTGCTGAAACTGCCCCAAAGGCCCATTTATTCTGCCCTTAGACATGGTGAGCCGTGAGGGATCGAGACAGGATGTCAGTGGTGGGATGTTGGAACATCAGGCTCCTGCCTCTGAGCACATCCACCAGTGCAGCTGATGGAGGCAGGGCTGCCCCTTCCAGCACATCAGATCCTCAGTGTGTGGAAACAGATACTGCTCTCTCCTCCCAGCATTTCATTTTTTAGGAAGTATTTTTCTGGGTCATTACTACAATCCTGAAGTGACCCTAAGGTGGAAATGACTGAACAACTCCAGTAAATCAGACCTGTAACTTACTACCTGTGTTTCTGGTCTCATTTCTGTGCATTGTTGTAACTACTCCAAAGGAGGATTTACCTTCCCTTTATTAAGAGGTCCTCTCTTACACTGACTGAGACTTGGTTTACCTAGGTTTTTGTACTGTTTAAAGATTATTTTTTTAATTACAAATTTTAAAATAGCTATTTAGTGTCAAAGGAACTCTTTTGGAAATATCCAGCCATAGTTTGTATCAAAATATTGGGGTGCAAACCTCAATCTGTTGTTACATTACTTTCAAGAATAGCTATACACCCTCAAGTGAGTTCATTAAGAAAATCACAGTGCTTGATGTCAGTAAAAAATACATAGGACAGACTGAACCTTTATGTTTTGTCCACCTTTGAAAAGAATTTTGTTTCTACTCTTTGAGTCAGTTTTTCAATAGTTGCCAAAGTTCTGTGATTTTTTCTTTTCTTTTTATTTGTGTCTGTTACTCAAACAAGCTCAGTTTTCTTTGACAGCTGATCAGTGTCAGTAAATGTAACATTATGTGAGAATTCATGAATAATGCAATGTCTTTGAGAGACATAGAATTTAATTTCTAGAAATACTTTTTAGCAAAGGCTTTGAATTACACAATTTTGTGTAGTGCTTTTTCCAGTGGACCTGTTCAAGCTCATCTGCTTTGATAATTAACAAGGACATTACAGGTGATTCAGACTAATTTTTAAAAAGTGCATAAGTGTTTTTACAAGGGGTGTGTGTGTAGGTGTGTGTGTGTCAGTCTGGACAAGTCAGTAACTCTTGCTCTTTGTTAGTTTTCTGTCCTCATTTCTCACATTTGCAATGTTTGGATTTAACAACTGCAGAGTTAACTATTACTAAAAGGTATTTCCTTTGGAAATGTAAATCAGTAGAGCTTTGTTTGCTGATTTTTAAGGTTTATGTGAGAATTGCTTTTTCTATTTGTTTGTTTGTGTTTGTTCTTTTTAACGAAAAGAGTTATGGGGCCAAATTGGACTAGAATCACTGGGAAATGTGATTTTACTTTTTGCATTGCATGGTGTAAAAAGGATATGAATTATTTGTATATACTGAAAGAAAAATCCTGCTTGGCTTATCAGGGTTGTATTTCTATGAAAGCAGAGTTGATACTTGAAGGAAACTGGGAAGGGACCCTTCACATACTGAAGGATCACCACTGGTTTTCTGCAGACACCTTGCCAAAGACTGGCCTTCCACTGACCAATTCTGCAGAACTTGCAAGAATTTTGATTTAAAAGGTAACTGAGCAAGAAATTCTGGCAGTGCAACAGAATGTATTGTCCTGGTGAGTGAAAGGAGTATATAATGGATATACTGGAGTGGTTATAATTGTATAAAAGTTCATATGTATTTACTACAAATATATATTTGTGTTTGTGTGTCCATGTACACACAGACATGCAAATTTTAAAATTATGTGGAGTGATTTCTCATCTCTTTAGATGTTTTCACCTGTGCATGAAGTTTTGTGTGTGATGTCAACATTGTGCAGCATGGCCTAAGATGTGAAATGCAGAGGGCAGGATTTACCCTGCTCATAGCTGGCTGCTACATGAGATACTGACTCAGTGACCTGGCAGCTTGAATCAGCAAAGCATTTGTCTGCCTAATGTGTTCATTCACCAGTGTCAACTTGCTGCATGCTCTGAAACAGCACAGCTGCCAGGTACACTGAGGTGACACTGTTCTTGATGCTGGTGTCACCCAGCATCTGAAGTCCTATAGGAGATGCCCTGTGTTGGCATTTTCCTGTGTGACCCTGGTCACACTCACCCCTCCTCTCCAGTCTGAAATGAGTGTTTCATTGCATCTACTTTCAAATGTATCTTGGGCATACATCAGTCTTAAAGATCTAAGACTGAAGCCAAGTCCATGAACAGAAATGTAGTGGTGAGCCTGCCTAATGCAAACCCCCAGTGGAACTTCTGGTGGGAGGTCTGGGGTTGTTTTGCTGAAGTGTCTGTTGTGTGTCAAAGACTGCAGATGAGCCCTGTCCTCAGAGGATGCACAAGAAGCATCATAGTCATAATGAAAAAACCACAAACAGGATAGTCCTTGCAGAAGCACACAGCTTTCATTTGATACTCATGGTCTGATTCATCAAACCTGACTTCAGGCTCTTTGCTCTTGCCTTCATAGGTACTTCCAGTTAATCCCACTGTGCTTGCTTTCCTCTTCCTTGTAACTCACACTGGGTTTTGGTTTAAATTGAATATAGAGTTATTTTTCTTTTTTGTTTCCCTCAGTCCCTGATCTCAGTTTCTGCTTTAGAGATGCTCCTTGGCAGCCACGGGAGGGCAGTAGGTCTATGTGGAGAAGTACCAGCCATTTTAAAGTACTCTGCCCTGTGCCCCTTGTTTTTCAGAGAGGCTGAAGGCCCTGCAATCTCCTTTGTGGCAGGAAAAAAAAAAAGAAGAAAGGCAGGCACCCCACACTCCAGCACAGCTGTGGTTTTGGCCCTGCATGGGAAAGACTTTCAGTGAGAACAAGCTCACGCTGAACCTGAATTCATTTAAAACCAGCTGCTTTCAGTGTGATGCCATGTTCAGCACTGCAGTCCTGGGTGAGATGCTGCTGTTACACTCCATTTTTGTTTGGGTTCTCTCCCCCTTTTTTTAATAAATCATCCAGTCCTAGTTTCATTCCTCAAAGTCCCAAGCATAAGTCAGGGGCTCCTCCAGGCATTGCTAAATTCAATTTATTACATAAATAAACATTTCTTCTGAGCATCTTCAAGAGGGAAAGGAATAATTATACTTACTGATCTGTCATTCTTCCTCTCACTTCCAGTCTCCTATCTGGAGAGTAGGTCTTGCTAATCTGGGAGGAAAAAAGAGCACACAGCTTGTCCTTCCAGCTCTTGGCACTGAGAAATCTAGGGACAAGCTAGATAATGTTGGATGGGCTTTGAGCAACATGGTCTAATAGAAGGTGTCCCTGCCCATGGCAGGGGGGTTGGTACTAGATGGTTTTTAAGGTCCCTTCCAACCCAAACCATTCTATGATTCTCTGTTGTTTGTGTCCTCAGGAGGACCAGGGGGTATCTTATTTTCTTGAACTTGGTTGTTTTGTAAGAAAGCAGTCTGGAGAGATGTGGTATCTTTGCCAGAAGTTCTCCTACAACACTATTTGTATGCCCCCAACACACATTGTATTCCTCATGGAATTTATCCTTTCTTCCTCAGTCAGGTAAAGTGATGTGAGCTGTTCTCATTCTAGTGGGAAACAAAGCAAGAGAGTACATCATGGAATCATAGAATAGTTTGGGTGGGAAGGGACCTTAAAATCATCTCGTTCTAACCCCCTCATATGGGTAGGGACACCTTCTACTAGACCAGGTTGCTTTATCCAGCCTGGCCTTGAACACTTCCAGGGATGGGCAGCCACAACTTCTCTGGGCAACCTGTGCCAGTGTCTCACCACTATCACAGTAAAGAATTTTGTCCTAATAACTAATCTAAACTTACTGTCTTTCAGTTTGAAGCAATTCCCCCTTGTCCTATCACTACATGCCCTTGTAAAAAGTACCTCTCCCTCTTTCTTTTGGACTCCCCTCCGGTACTGGCAGGATACATGACCATGCTGGGTTTGAGCTTGGATACATAAGGAAGATCTGTCCCCATCAGATCATGGCATCAAACACCATCACACAAGTTACTGTTACTTCTTTTTTACATACTGCTTTGCTGCAGGTTTGCCATTACCTTTTGCCACTCTAAATGCAAGATGTTTGCCCTGAGCACTGAAGGAGTTAAGCAAATATGAACTGTTATCTTCTTGGTGCAACACATTTGACAGGTGCCCAAGAGCACAGTTTGGGAGGTGCCAGTGCTCAGCACTATTTGTGGCTCACTATTAAAAAGATCTAAATAAACAGAGACTTTGAAGTGGAACTAGCTAAACTCCTTGATATAGAAACCTGAGGCAGGTATAGGGCCAAGTAGATGGAGTGTAGTTTTCCAAAACTGGGAACTGTTCGAGCCCTATCAAATGCAGCCTGAGGTAAGTGACGGCTCCCACAGCCAACATGGGATTAGATCTGTGCTGAAATAAATGCCAGGAAGCCTGGCACTCCTGAACCTGCCTTGCAGAAGGGGGTGGAGTAGGAAAATTATTAGGCCTATTTTCTCCTGGATCACTGGTTTCCATGATTTCAAGGAGACCTTGCTCACCCTGGTATAAAATATGTGTAACTCCATAGCTAACTTGCATTCAAGCAGACCAGGAACAATGCATAAAGTGGAAGTGTGGAAAACTGATCCAGCCTATTTAACTTATGCCATGCCATCTTCAACCTTTACAGAGCTTAAGGTACAAGCATTTAAAATTCTCCCTGACTTCACTGAGATGCATTTGTGTATAAAAGAATATGAGCCTTCCTTCAAAACTGGTGTAAGACAAGCAAGATCCCTGGAGCTGAAGGTAGGATCCAGGATTATTTTAAAAGCTTCCTATCCTGTGTACAAACAGTTAGTAGCAATAAAATGCCAGCAGCATTAGCAGAACTGTTCTAAACAGGAATGTCATCCCTTCATCAAGCCAGAAAAGACATGCCCTCTCTTTAAGCCCCTACCAAATACAGTCTTTGTGATATTCTGTGAAGTTCAGATTTGAGCTATTTTTGTTCTCCAGCTATTGTGCTAATAGTCTTCTCGAGTATTCTCTGAGTTTCAAGGGACATGACAACTGTTTTAACTTTCTTCTTCAATATGGACAAGAATTGCCCTAATTTCTGTCCCTGTGTCATTTGGGTGGGCAAGCAAGAATGAAATGGCAAATGCACCAAACGAGGACTTAAATAGAATGGAGAAATGAGGGTATTGAGCATGTAAAGGGTTAAGGTACATTCTCTGCTACTCTTGGATGCACATGCTATGTATCACTGTCATGAAATAGGAGTGCTGCTGCAGGACAGTGAGAACAACTGTATTTCAGGAAAGGAGTAACATCTCCTATGCTGGGAAAGCAGACCACCAGCAAAACAAGCCAAAGTTGCTACAGTGCATAGAGTGGATGGTGCAGGGTGTAGTCACTGTCCAGGCTGCATCCTCAGGTAGTGTGTCTGGTGGGACTGCTGAAGGAAAGGGTCATCTTTGTGCTCACACCTTGGGCTCCTCCAGGCTGGAAATCTCACAAGTGTCTGCCAGTTGATGGCAGAGTGAACCTGCAGCGCTGGTTCTCAGCACTGCTGTGCCTGAAGGCAAACCCTTTTCCCTGCACACTAGCACAGAGCAGGTTGAAATTCCTCTGCCGTGCTTCCACTGAGGCTTTCCAAACACTTCTTTAGGCATTAGGAGCATGACAGAGCAGAAGAATGCCATTAACCCTATTTTACAGATAGGAGTTGAATAATTTGCTCAGAATCAAATGAAGGGCTTAACCTGGATGTCTGGAGCATCTCTCAATCAGTCACTCCTACCAGAGCCTTGTTAATTGCTGGTGTCTCCCTCTTAGTTGCACTCTGGTACGTGTCAGTCAGGATGTTCTGCCACCACCTGGTCTCCCTCTGTCCAGGTATGCAGACACAGATGCAGATAGCAGAGGTTACATTATGCAGTCCTGCTCAATTGGCTTCTGGAATTGGATTGATAGCCACAGCAAAGCAGGAAAAAGGTCAGTCAGCATCCAAAGGTGGCAACAATCCTGCTTTCCCGTACTGGTTTTGTCTTTTGAAGCCACAACATCCCTGCAGACTGACTGCTAGAAATAAATTGTCATGACTATCTGTGAATCATTGTCTGGCAAGTGGATGGAGGTTGTGAGTTTGTCCATTTGCCACACAGGCACTCAGAAACACCCTGCAGCTTTCCATGTCTGCATCCCACACCTTGCTGTGTTTGGAACAGTGAGGCAGGAAGCCGGGAAGCCAGAACAAGTACTGGCTTTCAGGGCAGTGAAAGAAAACATGGTGTCTTGGGGATGATTCCAGGCTAGGGCAAGGTAGCTCGCTGCTCTCCAGCTCTGTGAGACATGGCAATGCCATGCCAAAATCTGGGGGCAGTGGCTGAGTTTGGCAGCACACTTTGCCATTAACCAGCAGAACTATGATGACTAGTGTTAATTCTTAGTTCCAGTAAAGTGTTCAGAAATAACTCTGTTTCTCCCATGTTCTCTGGCTCCAGCCTGTCTTCCCATTTAGAACAACTCTGCCCAAATTGTTCAGATAACCCTTCTGTCCTTGGCAAAAGGCTTTTCAGGGCAGCTAAATGCAGGCAAAGAACTTGTTCCTGTTTGCCTAGCTTTAAAATTAATTTGCCATGTTTGCCCAGGGGGTGAATGGCTCTGCCAGTTATCATCTGCAAAGCGAATCCTGGCTGAAAGCTACAAAGAATTGAGACTTTCCACCTTGTCCATGCAGGATCGATTGAGGTACATGTAAACAATCAGGTGCCAAGGGGAGAGAGCAAAACACCAAACTATGCAAGCAAATGCAATTTACAATGAGCAGAAACAACTGATTTGTCTAGTCCAGACAAAGAAGAATTACAGACTGAATAATGTGTAACTGAGTTCAACAGAGAAACAGAAATGCCATGATCTTGAGGCACACAGCTGCAAATCAGGCTACTGCACTGTTCATCTCATTCAAAATGGCTTTGCTCAACGCCCATAAAAAAGCACTGTTGTGCAACACGATTTCAACTGGCAAATATAATACTGTGAATGTTTTACTGTATAAATTGCTAAGGTGGCAGGGCCCATGGTCCTGTCCTTGCCCTGCACTGTCCCACACACTAACCCAAAGACAAGGACCGGTATCCCTTTCTTCCATTTAGTGCTTGTATCTGCACCTTTTCACCTGGCACTGTCCTTCTCTTAATGTCCTCCACTGCCATGGGCTTGTGTCCAATTTCCAAAGGACCCACTTGGCCCCCACATGGTGAAGTCTGGAGGAGGGCTGGGTGGCTGAGGCACAGCCACCCCTGGCGTGGTGGTGTTTCCACGGTGTGCTGCACAGCCCTTTCTGGCAGCCTCCTGTCACTGAGGAACAACAGTGTGGCTTGGGCTTGTCATGGCTTGTTACCACCTCACCCTGACAGCAGCACCTAGTTTTGTTTTCTTTCATCACCTTTCCTTCCTTCCTTCCTTCCCCAAAGCATTGCCTTTCTGGGTGATATGGAAAGGAGGGCGGTGTGAGCAGGGGCACAGAGAGGCAAGGCAAAACACAGGGGGCAAAGGGAAGGGTTTTGTGCCTTCTTCACCCTCCCTTTTTTCAATTAGGGGACAAGACAGCCCTTCAGCAGTCCCCTCTCCTCCACAGAACCTGGCAGCCACCTCTGCTCACCTCCTCCCAGCCCCACTGGCATTCCCTGCCCTCTGCAGCTGTGCAGAGCAAGGCTGCTCACTGAAAGCTCCAGAAGGAAAACAGGGGTGGGAATAATGAAATTTCTCTGTGGTGACCAGTGCCATGACCTGAGGGAATGGCATAAAGTCATGTCAGGGGGGGTTTAGGTTGGATATTAGGAAAAGGTTCTTCAGCCAGAGGGTGGTTGGGCACTGGAACAAGCTCCTCAGGGGAGTGGTCACAGCACCAAGCCTGACAGAATCCAAGAGGTGTTTGCCAGTGCAGTCAGGCACATGGTGTGAATCTTGTGGTGTCCAGTGCAGACCCAGAAGTTGGAGTTAATGATCCTTGTGGGTTCCTTCCAACTCAGCATATTCTGTGATTCTAGGAAATATCTGTCCTGCTCCCTGCACTATATCTTCCTCCTGGACAGAAAATATCTTGAGAACTGCCACACCACCCCCTTCTGACAGCACTAAATCATCTTAAAATTAAAGTGCTAACTGAAATGGCACCTTGTCTCTGTCCCTTTGCAGTGAGTGGAGAGAGAAGAAGGAAGTACAAGTGCAATGATTGCAGAATGCTTTGGGATGAAAATACACAGTTCAGAAACCACAGCAGTAATAAGCTTAACAAAAATAGCTCATAATTTGGATCCTATGATGATACTGGATGTGCATCTAGAATTGGCTGAGTCAGCGAGATGCCATTTCTCTGAGAGCTCCTGCTCTCATTCTTGGCCATAAAGCCATATAAATAACATATGGTACAAACAGCATCACTGACACCTGCCAAAGTTTTGAAATACCTACAAGCTAACTACTAAAACCAAGCCACCTGTCCAGTGACTTGCACTTGAGTTGTTCCACTTCATCATCCCTGTATTATTATGTTGATGGGACGCCATAAATCTACAGAGTCAGAGAAGACATTGAATCTGCCCCTGAAGAAATTACCCTCTAGAGAAGATGAGTGAACTCAAGGTAAAACCCCTCAAGAGGTAGCTCATCTGAGCCTCAGAAGTTGCTTGGAGAAGGAGGACTGAGGGAAACACTTCCAGAGCAGCTTTTGCTTTGTTGTTAGCTGTATGAACATGAAAGAAGGATGGTGATGTATATTAGAGATTCCTAGAATCATTAAGCTTGGAAAAGACCTCCAAGTTCATAAAGTTCAACCATACATATTGTGGTTGGAGAAACAGTTTGGGCCTGTCCTATGCAAGAGAATTTCTGAGTGTTCTCTGAACAGCCTGGATACTTGTCAACCTAATTACATGACCAACTACTGCTTAATTGAGGCTCCATTAACTTTTTTTCTGCAGGTCAGTAGTCTGCCCAGTAATTTTCTGTTGCAATGCAGGCCTTCTTACTGCAGGGCCCAAAGATCCTTCCAGGCTCTGCTTCTCTAACTTTTTCTGTTTGTAGAAGTTTAGCCCTTCTGGCTCATTCCTCTCTGGGAACATGTCCCACTTTGTACAAGGCTTTGAGGAAGTCAGCTTTCCCCAGGTGCTTCAGTCAGCATCAGCACTGGCAGAGGTTTATTTGGGTGTTCCCTGGCACCCAGTAAATGGTGAGCTGATGTCTGGTGAGCAAACAGACTCCTCTCAGAACTAACAGTGAACAGGAGCAGGAAGAAGATCCCACCCAAGGGACCATGCTGGAAGTCACAGCCAGGCAACCTTGGTCTTGCCCTTCCCAGTGCCCTTCTTGCTGCTCCTAGCCCAGGCCTGCAGCAGAGCTGTTTATGCACCCCATGAAATTGCACCATGAAGCCCTTCCTTACATAAAGATCAATAAGCAATATGGGGTGGGGATAGGATGGCACAGCTAAAGCATCTGCTGTGGAGTCAGGATTTCCAGCTGCTACATGAGGCTTTCCCACTGACCTGCAAAATTAGGATATTTTGAGAGTTAAATGATCCTGAACACATCCTTTTAACATTAGTAGAGAGAAGTCTCTGGGAGAGTGTCTCTGACACTAGTTAAATTGCAACTATTAGTTATAATTTAAATTTATTATAATTTGATTACATTTATATATATCATGAGGATAGATAGGTCATTTTAGTATTTATAGCTTTATCATAATATTACTATAATCAAACTAATAATGATTTTATTGTAATTTAATACAAGACTGGTTTATATACTCCTCATAGTTGTAAGTTTCTTGCTAGAAATGCTCACAGAAATGTTTCTAGATAAGGCAGTATGTTGAAATTTGACTGAATAGAACACTACCAAGCAAGATACAAGAAGAAAATGACAGCTGTATTGCAAAAAAAAAGTGTTTTAACTGATTTATTAATAATGTTCACTTCTTATTCTTATATCTAATCAAGAGACTCCTCAGAGTCTAGGAACTTGCTTTCTCACAGGACTGCTTTGGTTTGCTCTGCAAATTTGTCTCTGCACTGCACACACCTCCAAAAGAATGCAGGTATATAGCACAAAAATTACATGAGATTTAGACACTGATGCAAAACCTTTTAACCTGCAACAACCTCATTCTGCTGTCACATCCACTGGAGGCACTAAAGCATATATGGATGTCAGTGTTTAGGTATTTACAAAGAAGTTTCATAGAATCACAGAATAGTTTGGGTTGGAAGGGACCTTAAAGGTTTGACTAGTTCCAACCCTCTGCCATGAGGAGGGACACCTTCCACCAAACCAGGCTGCTCAGAGCCTCATCCAACCTGGCCTTGAACACTTCCAGGGATGGGGCAGCCACAGCTTCTCTGGGCAACCTCTGCCAGGGCCTCACCACCCTCACAGTAAAGAATTTCTTTTTAATATCTATCCTAGGTCTGCTTTCTTTTAGTTTGAATCCATTCCTCCTTGTCCTGTGTCCCTACAGGCCCTTGTAAAAAGGACCTCTCTACAGGGACTAGGTTTCTTCCCTCTACCCTGCTTGGAAGGACTTTGTGTGTTAATGTTTGCATAACACATTCAGCAGATCAGCTTCTACACAAACCCTGCCCAGATTCAGTGCCTGGATGAAGCTGCTGTTTCACCTACACTGCTTTGGTGGAGGGCACAAAACCAGAATGGGGCAGCCTGGGCTGACCCCCACAGGATTCCTGTCCATGTCTCCATATGCCACTGGACAAGGCACAGTTTGCACAAGGCCTGACTGCATATTTGTCTGGGATTTGGATGGGATTGGAGGATTGCTTCATTCTCACTTCCTCTTGCTGAACTTTCCCATTAAATAATATGAGTAAGGCTGAAGAGAGAAGACAAGAGTATGCATAATGATTAGGGTCTCAGTGTGTGGGGTGCTGTTAAGGCTTCACAAGCAGAGAAAGGAACCTGAACACCCCAAAGCCCAGAGGAACAGCCAACAAGGCTGTTACATGAACCAGTGACACCCTTCCTGAAGAAAAAAATTACTCCCTGGCCTATTTCCCGAGTACAACACTCTGGCCCTTCCTTTTTTCAGGATCAAACGCTGTCAATCTCACAATTGGTAGCACTAAACCAATCCCAAATACTGACAATATTTTTTCTCTATTACCATTTTTCCTCAGTTTACAGGGAGATGTGCCATGGAACAGCTCTCCCAGCACTTCATATACATAATGTTCAACGTTTTATTCAGGATTCTGGACAAAGTAGGCAACTGTCCCCACAAAAATTAACCTCTGGATTCTGGACTGAGTCCTGAGTGTCTTGTCCCTACTCCATCTAAGAACTAAGAAGTAACAAAGAGGGACATACACTATTTTTTCCCAGCAGCTTCAGTCCTACATCTTTGCACTCCAAATTAGGTGGGAATACAGACACTTCTCTCTTCTTTATGTACAGGAAGAGCTCAAGTTCAATGGGTCTTTTAAGGCTGCAGAAAGTCTGGCAGGAGAAGGTGTGATGCAAATTGAACAGCAGTGGCAGAAATATCCAATGGTTTACCACGTGTGAATGAAGGGAACCAGCCAGGCCTGTCTTTGAGAGATGGGGAGAGCTTCACCCTCCTGTGCTTGTTCTGCCTCCATCTCAAACTATGGCAGCCTGCTCTAGCATAAACCTTCCAGTTCTCCGTGCTCAGCACAGTGAGTAAGATGTTTCACAATTAACGCCGAGCTGACGCAAGCAAAGCGATGTTACACAGAAACTGAGTGCTGACATCCAAATTCAGCACAGCAACAGATAAAGGGGTGTCGTTAGAAAAGACACCTAAAACTTATCTCTTTCCAGATGAGGGCATATATGATCTTTCCTTTATTAGAAATAGTATGAACCTAACCTCAAATAGAACGATTAATTTGTGTGAATTTCCACAGGTGTGAGCATTGAAATGAAGAAAACTAGGCATTTTTTTGACAAAACTTCTCAAGGCTGGTCTCTTATTCCAGTCACGTTTTTACTTCATCTACATATTGAGCCTCCATCCCCTTATCAAAGTATTGTGTTTGCCCTTTCCATTTCAGATATATTTTGTCTACACACAGCCTTTGTGTTAAGCATTTAATTCAATAATGTGCCTTTCCCAGGGAACTGGTTTTTATTTCACCTTTCAAATTCAAATCCACCCTTTTTAGTCCTGATCTGAGCTGGCTTCTAATTTGATAATGTTTGGGTGACGAATTTTGCTAAATTTATTTGTGGCTGTCTGTTCAGTGCCTTATAGAGACCTTCTCAGGGTTTATGTGGGAAGCTGAGAGGGGCTTGGGGGAGATGCAAATATTTTTGGTTTTTTTTAAAAAAACATGAAGGAATATGTGTAATACTGGAACAATATTTGGTAAATACCAGCCAAAACATCTTTTGTCTGAGCAGCTGGAGATAATAATTGTCTCTCTTTACAGAGGAGGGCAACTCTGGCAATAATATTCACATTGGCAGTAATATTCACAGGTTAAACCTCTCTACACACTTAGAGCAGACCATTTATCCATTTTCCTTCTTCACAAATCCACAGCATCCACAACTCCTACTGACTTAGATACAGGTCCTCTGGTGGGGATTTAAGTGCTCAATTCAAGCTACTAGTAAGCTGAAAAGGTCAGCCAAAACAAGCAATTGATAATGGTGAAATTAAAGCTCGGGGCTGTTTGTTGGTCACTCCTGCAAGTTATGCTACAACTGGAGAAGGATTATGAATCCTGTTTGGTTTAGGAAGGAACGAATGATTTAATCTCCAAACCTCACCCGAATGTACTCCTGCACTGATGCAGCCATGTGGCAAATGCACCAGAACGGCTGTATTGTTATTTTTCAGACGGGAAAGTTGCTGACAGAGGCGGGCGCTTACCAGAGCATCCATCCAGCACGGAGCTGCTGTTCCTGTGAGCGCCCCGCAGCCTCCGCGGGACGCCGCATCCCTGGCACCGACCTGCAGGGAACAAGGCACCGCATTTGCTTCCAACGTGCATACGAGCATTTCCCAACAACGTGAATGGTTCCCAATGCCTGCGTGACACGGTGCTTTGAAAAACCACAGGGGCAGCCACAAACAAAGGTTTCCCGGACACGGAGCGCCACGAATTGGGAGTTGGTCAATTCGCCCGGCTTTTCCCTGGAGCCTGCCGGGCTCCTCATGCACATTAATGGGGAACGTGGGACCCCCGGAGCAGCGACACCCCGGCCTCCTGCGCCCACCTCAGCCGCGGGGTGCGAGCGCTGCCCGCCCCATCCTCTCCCACCGCGGGACCACCCTCCCCCGCCCCGCCAGCCGGGACCGCGCCGAGACGCCTCCACCTCCGACTGACACGGCGACCGGGCGGTCCCCGTTCGCTAGAGAAGCCCAGCCCGGGGGGAGCCGGCCCAGCGCCGGCAGACGGCGGCTGTCGCCGCCCCGCTCGCAGCACACGCTCCTCACGCCTCACCCGGCTGCCCGCGCCCCCCCCGCCCGCCGCCGCACGGACCTCACGGGCCTCACGTCCCCCTGCAGCCGCCGCGCGCGCCGCGCCGGGCCCGCCCCGCATTGGCCGGAGCCCCGCCCGAGCCCGCCGCCCATTGGCGGAGGCGCGGGGCGCACGGGCTCCGCCAATGGGAGCGCGGCGGGGGCGGGGCGCGCGGCCCGGCCGCGGCCGGGGGCGGCGGCGGCAGTAAACAGGCGTGCGGGCCCGGGCCGCGGCCACCGAGCCGAGCGGAACGGAGCCGAGCCGAGTTGGTGGCTGCTGGGCTGTGCCGGGCCAGGGTATGGGAAGCGACCGCGACAGTGGAGGAGACTGGCTGGGCCAGGCCAGGCCAGGCCGGGCTGTGGTGGCGGGGTGGGGGTAGCCGAGCCCCCGGTAGTGGTGGTGCCCCCGGTAGTGGTGGTGCCGCGGCTGTGGGAGTTCGTCCGTTGCCATGCGGGGGAGCGGTGCGGGAAGGGATGCAGGTGATGGCGGCACCGGCGCTGCCGCGGGAAGGACGGCCGTGCCCGGCGCGGCGCCTCGGGCCGGGGTCTCTCTCCCGGGGAGCGTTCCCCGGCGGGGGGAACGTGTGCGGGGTCCGGCGGTGGATGGCGGCCGCGGGGCAGCGGGGCTGCGCCCGGGCAGGAGGCGGCCGGGGCTGCGGCCTTGCCGTGCCCTTGGCCGCGTCCCGTCGGGGTGAGAGCGGGGCCGGGCCGGTCCCGCCTCCTGCCCGCGCTCGGCAGCGCCCGACCGGGAGCGGGGCCGGCGGTCAACGCAGCCGGGAGATGCGCGGGCTGAGCGGGGAGCACAGCCGAAAGGGGATCGGGGGACAGGATGGAATCCGCTGCTCCGCTCCGTAGGGAATGCGCCTTGCCCGGGGATATCACACGAACCTGGTGCTGTGCTGCTTTCCGGGCTGCTCGGGCTTGGAGCATCGCTCCTCTGTGTCGCTGGGACCGATCCGCGCGTCTGGTTGGAGGTGGCTGTAAAATAAAGCTGTTGGCTGGTTTTTAAGCTTTACTTGTGGCTGAAACGGGGGTAAAAAAACCACTGTGAGCCCCCTGCCTCTGGTGAAGTGCCTGAGAAAATAATCTTTCTATAGGCAAACGGGCTTGTAAAATCTTTGTAACAACATGAACAGGAACTGATGGGGAGATACTTAGTTTTAAACAGACACCGAACAAGCTACCTATAAACAACTACAAGTAGGAAAGTTTGCTTTCAAACAACATTGTATAATGTTGTTTTCATGGTTACTGACCATTTTGATTGCTGCAGGATTGTATCATAAGAAATAACACTATTTCTGGTAGTCCAACAAGGTTATATGCCACCCGGCAGGAACGTAGGTGGGGAGAGTCTCTGTATTCCCCTCCATGCAATGACAATCCATACTTTGTGGTCAGTGTTAGGAAAGGAAATTAAAGCTTTTATTTCAGTAACTGAAAGTATAATTTTCCCAAAAAGAATTGACCTAACAATTTATGATTTTTTTCTGAGTTGCTTGTCTTTTAATTATATTGTTTTACTAGACTCAGGTGTATTAATTAAAAATATGCAAAATAAGACTTAGCACTGGGTATAGAAGGACAATTGCCAAAGTCAATAGTAGCTCAATAAAAGACTTAATAAAAGAAGGGATTAAGAAATTGTTCTTTAAACAGACTGAATAGAGATTGATGTCTAAAGGTATATTGGTAGTTTTGCATTTCTTTGTCATGGGGTAAGAACATTCATAAGTTATCAGAAGGAGTTTAGTTCACAGGAACTGCAGCTAGCAAGGGCAAGCAAGAACCTTCTTGCTCTTAGACCAGGAGAGTTCTTTTTGTATTTTGTAGATGTTTTCTTCATTGCTGTTAATTAGCAGTGACATTGGTAACCTTGAATGAAGTATGCTTAGAATAAACAGTTTCGTATTGTCCAGTCTTACTCGAGATAGGGAAAAAAAGTGGGTGACCTGTTGTGCTTTGGCAGTGTCTCCCTTTTAATAACGAGGTAGAGAGATCAGCAGAAGCAAAGATGTGGAGAATTGCCTCCTTTACTGTCCGAGTGCTGATCTCCTTGTTTCATTCCTGCCGAGGGGAATTCTGTGCTGTGCTGTGCAGTGCAGCTCTGGTTAATTCATTTGTGGTAGTTAACACAAGTTAATAATAGCTCAATGCATCCATGCAGCAAGAACTGAACTTTTTTTGGCTTCTAGTCTTCCAGTAGTCCTTTTAAAGGCAGGTGGTGGTCTGTTGTTTCACACCCTGTTTGTCAGGCTGTATTATTTTTCTGGAGACTGAGAGGGAACAAGGGATAGAAGCTGAATTCCTGCTTCTTAATATTTTATGCTAAAACCAGTGGATTGCTTATGGAATTGGGATTTTTTTAGGTAGAGGTTGGTGGGTTTTTTTTCTGTCTGCATGTGTTTTTTCTTCATTGTTTTAACCAGGGTGCAAGGAATGACGTGTGTGTCATGATCTGTCATCTTGTGTGTCAGTGTGCGTGGGGTAAATTGTTTGATCCAGGTGGCTTGCCAAATACATCTCAGGGCTTAGCTTAGTGCATGAATAAGCATTTCTCCTTTTCCTTAAATCTGTCCTGCTGGGTGAACAGTCCAGCCTAGGACAGAGGCAGTGAGTCTGAAGGAGTATTTAGGAATCACATCTCCAGTGTGATGTAGGTCTTCTTGTCTTCTCCCTCTAAAACTGCAAAAGAAAGAAGGCTGGAAGAGGAGGCTTTTTGCTTAAGGAGCTGTATATTCTGGAACAGAGCAGCTTTAGGAGGAGAGTACCTTCTCTTTCAGCTTGTTTTGTAAAAGTGCTGCCTTGTGCTATGAGTGCCTGCTTTCCTTCAGATCTGAAGAAGAAAATCAGTTACTGGCATGTGGAGCTAAAATGCAAGCTGGCAGTGAAGCACAGTATTTTGAGGGCATGGGTTCAATTACTGTCTGCTTTCTCTCCCAGCAGTGAAAACTCATTTTATAAGCACATTCTTATCTTCGCATTAAATTGTTTGTGTTTAGCTTCTCAGTTTTTTAGATGCCATTTGTTTTGTTCCTCTCACCTCCCCTTCCCCCAAATTTAAATCAATCTGGCAAAATTAAATCAATCTGAGCTGGTGACAAAGACCCAAGAAATAACAAGTTTTGCCCTTTCTTTGCACAGTTGTGTTTCTGCACTTTATTTTAATGGCATTTTAATGGCTTTTGTGTTTTGTCAGTCAGTAGAGGTGTGGAGCTAAATAAAGCATGTTCAGTTCCCGGCTATCCAGTCTCTGAAATGTTCTGTGTGCTTCTTGCAGCATAGAAAATGACATTACTTGCTCTGAAAAACTTAGCTGTCAGTCTGTGGAGCTGGCTTTTAGAAACTTGACAAGTTTATATGTTTACTTAAACAAGTCGGCGTGCATATCCGTAGTTTAAAAACAGGTGTTTTTTTCTGGAAGCTGCATAAGACTTTGTTTTTTTTTGTAAAGACTGTAGATTCTGTATGTGGAGACATGAGGAAAGATGATCTACTTGTGCTCTCTATGGTCCTAGAGCTGTTTTGTGATGTGCAGGTGATAACTTCCACTTACAAAGTTCTCCTACTGTGTTTGTTTTTCCTCTGTAGTTTGTCCTGGTTTTTGGTGTAGATTACATCTTTATGTGGCCCCTTTCACTGCTATTCATGCCTCCTTTTTAACCAGTTGCATGCCTTGGGTTTTTTCTGGGTCTGCTGAACAAGTGAACTATAAAAGGGCTGGGGGCACTGTTCTGAAATGTCACAGCTCTCCTGCTGTCTGGATTGTGCCATTTGGAAGGATTAAATCCTCATCCTAATTTGATCTGGTTAAAGTGCTCATCAATAGAGTATTTGGGATTAGGGAAGAGATGGCAGGGAGAATGACTGGGCAGTAAACTGTAAGTGAATTGAGTGTTTCTTTTAGAGAACCCTTCTGAAATCAGTGAGCCTGATACAATTTTACATTGCACAGCAAAGCATTGTGGAGCATGGCCTTTCAGAATTCACTCACAGTTTGGGATTTTTATTTTTTTAAACTGTACAAGCTGCAAAAAGCTTTGGTTTTTCTAGTTTGGAAAGGCAATGTATTTATATTATGCAAATATGATTTCTTAAAGTCTATACATAGAGAGCATAAACAATTGTAGATTACAGAATCTGTATCAGGTGTGAGAGCTTGCAGGTTAGGCTTAGCTGTAAGAGAATTATAGAGCTTGTTACTCTCATTTACCCTAGTGTCAAAAGTACCTATGTGTGGGGAGCAGGAAAAAACAGAAATAACTTGTCTGTGGCAGAGCTGCCATGCAGGAGCTGTAGCTTCCGACAGATCATGTTCCCCTATAGCACGGAGATCATCTTAGGTCTTCTTGAGTAGTCCTTTTTTGCCTATGGTCCACTTCTTGCAGGGAGGATTTGGCACAGCCAGAAAAATGGGAGCTCCCCCAGCCGGGGTGCTGGTGTGTGAGGGAGCTGTGAATAGACTAGGGCGTGTTGTAAGATGCTAAATTGGAGCTTAACCCCAGTTTCTAGGGAAAGGTTGGAAGCCATGAGGTCTACAGAGACACGAATGCCTGCAGGATCAATAGTGGGATCAGTGGCTGTGGTGTTTGCCTGCTGCTCCCAGAGGTGACAGAGGGATTGCTCTGCCACCAGAGAGACCTGTGGGGGTGCCACTTACACACTTGGTAGCAGCAGCTCGGGGTGTGCTGTGCAAGGGTCTGTCCTACTGTATACTAAGGGTGATAAGCAAAATACCTTCTTATTCCTGAGGAAGAGCAGCTGTACAGGTTGTGTCTAGTTCTTAGAAAGGTTCTGACTAGAAGCCACTGCTAGCATGGCATTTAATGGTGACTGTTGGCAGTATATCGTTTAGGTGGTCAGCAAACCAGCTCTGAATCCTCGTTTAGGTGGTCAGCAATCCAGCTGTAAATCCTTGTTTGTCTTTGATCTATAGAGGTGGGTGTTTAGATGATTCTTAGGGATAGGCTGTGTGCTGTAAGGATCAGTGTACTATGGAGAGCATTGGGGTTTTTCCCAACCCTATGCCTGACAAGCAGTGTAAGTTTGGGTAGATCACTTGTTCTCTTCCCTC